TCCACGAAATGCTGTACTGGATGTGTGTAAATGCCAAATTGGGTGTTTCGGGGCGCATGCGGATGGTGGCACTGGGGGTGTCGGTGGAGCTCCCGATGGGGCCACGAAACGCTGTACTGGGTGGGTGAAAATGCCAAACTGGGCGTTTCGGGACGCATGCGGGCGGTCCCACTGGGGGCTTCGGTGGGGCCCCCCTATGGAGCCACGAAACGCTGTACTCGGTGCGTGAAAATGCCAAATTAGGTGTTTCGGGACGCATGCGGACGGTGGCACTGGGGGCTTCAGTTGGAGCCCCCTACGGGTCCTCGAAACGGTGTACTGGGTGTGTGAAAATGCCAAATTGGGTGTTCTGGGACGCACGCGGACGGTGGCACTGGGGGCTTCGGTGGAGCTCCCTATGGGGCCACGGAACGCTATACTGAGTGGGCGAAACGCAGGGAGGGAGGAGGAGGGTGGAGGGGGAGGAGGGCGGAAGGAGGAGAACGCGGGGACCGTCTCTTCAAAACGAAAACCCAACACCACAAGATGGTTGGGAAATAGACACAGTAAAACAAAAGGGAACAACGAGAAATTATTCACTGCGTGGAACTCCCCACATGTGCATCTATTCGCATGGACCTGTCCGCCGTGAGTGTCTAGGCGCAAAGAGTTTTCGAATATAAGCGGGCTTGAGTTGTGACGGTCTGGTCAGGAATCTAACTGCGAATGAATCGGTGTGAATGAGTCTCAGTAGTACGAGCGCGTCTCTGCGCATGAGCCTGGGGCCTCCTGGGGCCTCCTGAAACCTCCTGAGGCTTCCTGGGCCCTTCAGAAGCCTCGTTGGGCCTCCTGGGGCCTCTTGGGGCTTCGAGTGGCCTCCTGAGGCCTCCTGGAGCCTCGCGTGGCCTCCTGGGGCCTCCTGGAGCCTCCTGGGACCTCCTAGGGAGGATTCGTGCCCCAGGAGAGGCCCAATCTATAGCAACAGACGTACATAATACATTACGAATTGGAGCCACAGGAGAAGGGCAATCTATAGGAACACAGGTAAAACACCAAGGACTCGTGCCCCAGGGGAGGCCCAATATATAGGAACATACGTAAAACATGTAGGACTGTATACACAAGAGAACTATTATATGTATACAGATATACACATATACATATATATATATATATATATATATATAAGCATCCGTGTAACATCAAGGATTCGTGCTCCAGGTGAGGCCAATTTTATGGGAGCATACGTAAAACACGTGGGATTGGAGCCACTGCTGTTGCCTTCTGAGGCCTCCTGCTCATGGGGCCTCTCGGGGCCTCCTGTTGCCTCCCGGGGCCTCCTGGCACTTCCTGTGGCCTCCTAGGGCCTCCTGTGACTTTCTGAGGCATCCTGGAGCTTCCTGGGGCCTCCTGATCCTGTGGCCTCTTGAGTCTTTCTGTGTCCTCCTGATGCCACCAGGGACCTCATGTGGCCTCCTGGGGCCTCCTGGAGCCTGTTGGAGCCTCCTGTGGCATCCTGAAAAGAATATGTGCCCACGAGTCTGGCCACCAAAACAGGCAAACCGATCGAGACATCCTCAAAATCTGGCCCACCTGGGGGGTGAAAATGAGCGTCTCGCTCGAGACATCCTCCAAATCTGCTCCGAAAACGGAGGATGTTGAGGACCAAAACAAGCAAACCGCTCGAGACATCCCCGCCATTTGGGCGCGAACGGAGGCCGTGCAATACCCCTGGCACCCCCCCCCTCAGGAAGCGCCTCGCACGAGACATCCTCAAAATCTGTTCCGAAAACGGAGGACGTTGAGGGCCAAAACAGGAAAACCGCCTGAGACATCCCCGCCATTTGGGCGCGAACGGAAGCCGTGCAATACCCCTGGCGGCACCCCCTTAGGAGTGCTAAAACCAGCAGACCGCTCGAGACATCCTCCTCATCTGCTCATCATCATCATCATCATCATCATCATCATCATCATCATCATCATCATCATCATCATCATCATCATCATCATCATACTCATCCATCGCTCACCATCACCATCATACTCACATCGTACTCTCACCATACCATGGTCATCATCATAACAATCATCATCATTGTCTGAGGGAGGAGGGGAGGGGTGGTCCGGCGCGGTCGGAGAATAACAAGAACCCCATCCTTTGGATATGGGGAATAACAAGAACCCCATCCTTTGGATATGGGGAAGAACGATGGCTTCGCGGTGCATGTGACCTTGTGAAATGCGCGGATGCGCTCGGCACCAAAGGCTTCGTGGCAATGCCAAATCGTGCGAGACGCCCGCGCTGAGGGTTTCGTTGTACTTTGAACCCCTCCTGGAACTCGCGGGTGCGCTCGGCGCCGAGGGTTGCGCGGCCATTTGACTGCGACACGCGCGGATGTGCTCGGTGCCGAAGGTTTGGAGGCACTTGGAGACATCGTCCATTTAGTGCGCGTTGCTGGGCTCAGCGTTTTGAGCCGCACGAGGCGCGTGGATGAGCTCGGCGCCGAGGGCTTCGGGGTACTCTGCCACCCATTTTGAGGCCGCCACCAGGCCTCACTGGGTGGGAAAGGCTGTGCCATGTTTGCGGAGGAGCCGCCGCCCAGAGTTTCCCAGGACGCCAGAGGTCTGTGCCCTCCAGGTCTGTGCCCCCTCCTCGTCCTCCTCGTCGTCCTCCTCCTCCGCCTCCTCCGCCTCCTCCTCCTCCTCCTCCTCCGCCTCCTCGTCCTCCTCCTCCTCGTCCTCCTCGTCGTCCTCCTCAAATTAGGGGTCGGAGACTTCCAAGGTTGTTCGAGCGCGAAGGGGCCGCCGGCAATTGTCGCGCGCCAGGCGTCGCAGAGATGTGGTCCTTTGTTGGGCCCGCGCCGGCTCGGTGTCCGCGCAGTACCGGACGCTGTTGCACGAGGCTGCCTTGGATGTGCTGCGCACGCGATTGGCAATCAACGAGCAATGCTCATGGAAAGTTCCAGTGTTCCTGCAACTGTATTTGATCATATTTTCGTACGTGTGCGTTATGCTTCCCATATCTCACGATGTCTCGCGATCACGCTGCCGTGTGTGACTCCTTCTGATCATTCGCCGACCCCTTGTGGGTCTCGAGGCATGTGAGATTCTTCCCCCATCATACATCCCCCCTCCCGCTGGACCCCACACCGGAATGACCCCCCGCGGCCTCCGGCGACCCCTGGCCGAACTCACCAGGGGGGGTGTCCGGCCCTCCCCAGGCTCGCTTTGGAGCTCCAAAACGGCCACTGAGGGTTCCCACGGGGACCCCAATACGGTCCAACAGGGCCAAAGGTCACCAAAAGATCGCTCCAAGACGCCCAAGACAGCCTCCAGACGGCCCAAGATGCACCCAAGACGCCCCCCCAGAGGCCTCTAAGAGACCCTCCAAAAGCGGTCCAAGAAGTAAAAAACGTGGCATTTCCCGTGGGAAAACGTATCTCTCTAGGATATTCGCCTCTTGACAGCTCCAAGACGGCCCAAGCGGGCGCCAAGACGGACAGCAAAAACTCCCAAGACGGCCCAAGAGAGCCCCAAAACGGCCCCAAGAGGGGGCCTACAGGGGGAACCCGAATAGAAATGTCGAGCCTTCAGCCCCAAGACGCCCCCAGGCTGCTTCGAGAAACCCAAAGGCCCCAAGATGCTCCTGGGAACCCCACGAGGGTCCCAAAAGGCAGTCAAGAGCCCCCCAGGAGTCCACCAAGAGGCCCAAAAGCTGCCCCCAAAACGCCCTGGAAGGGCCTCACACAAGACCCCATCACCCATCCGAGTGGCCTCATACCCACAACCCTGGCACGGTGGCGGCATGGGCCGAGGGCCATTCGTTTAAATTATGTGGCTGTGTGTTTGAAGGGTTTTGCCACGTGTTTCAAAATGTCACATCGAATGCAACCACGCGGGTCTCTCGCGCGCGAATGTCGAAATCTTTGAAGCGTCTTTGCGCGCTTGCCTGGGGGAGGGGAGGGGGGCACGATCCCTTACAAATGTACCATGCGGGCCACTAGCGCGCGTCAGCCGCGCGCGCATGTCGAAATCCTCGTCACAACCTTCATCACCGACACATGGACACCATCGTCATCGGCCAGATCAGCATCGGCGTCGCCATTGGCCTTGCCGTCGTCATCGTCGTCATCGTCACCAGCATCGCCACAATCATCATCGTGTGTCCCGTTGTCGACGTCGCCATGATACCGCGCCCGCAAGCCACCGACTCGCACTAAAGTGCCCGCGAGTCAGCGCGGCCTGCCAAAGCGCTTTGAAGTCTCCAGCGGTCACCTCCACCGCGGCCGCGGCGGTCGCGCCAGACTAGCTGGCCGCTCTGCGTGCGAGCCTGCACGCGCTAGCGCGGCCGTAGCAATGCGACAGCCAGCGCCAAGAAATTATCGCAATCGCCACCGCATGGGTTCTGCAAACCAAGTTGCAAGGGGGGGAAATAGGGGAGACAGAGCGCAAGAAAGAAAGAAGGACACAATAAGTGGCACAAAGAGTAGGAGTCAACTACTCATCTTAAAAATACAATGGTGAAGACTGCAGGCAAGTACGAGGGTGCTACGCAAGCAAGTTTCACATGATCATGTCTGGAAGCTGGCCCATCGGTTCCCCGTGCAAAGAAAGTAGTCTGGATTACCTGTGCCTCAGGACACTCAGCGTGGCTGGCGCAATTCGGCAACAACCGTTCTCTCGATCACGACATCTCGCGGCGTCATCGGCGGGCAACTAATTGGCATCGGAGGGGCGTTTTGACGGCAGTCACGCCAGGAATGTGACGGCAAGCAAACAGCCTGTTCATAGCTCGTGGTTGTGGGCATCCGCCACCCCGGTCCGTGGTTTCCGTGGGCCCGAACGAACTCTCGACCAAACTGCTGGACAGCCTGTCCTTCTTTTTCAGCCGCGGGCCGCTCTTAATAAAAACCACCCTCAGGCAACGAAATACCCCCAGACATGAAACGTCTTGAACTGTTCGCGACGCCTGGTGGTCGAAGGCGCTGTCCCCCCTCCCCCTCGAAATTTCGGCCGCCATCCTGGAGCAGGAGGGTGAAGCTCGACAGGAAGCGCTCTCTGAGGTAGTCGGCTCGAGCGACTGGGTCCTCTGGCGGATGACGGCAGTGAGGGGGGAGGGAGAAGGGAGAGAGGACGTTTGGCATAGACATGCGTTTCTAAACCACCATTGACGTAAGTGAAGTGAAAATGAGCGAAAAGGAAGGAGAAGAGAGGAGGGGTGAGGAAAAGGGAGGGAGGAGGAAAAGGAAGGAAGGAGGAACGGGGCCGCGCGGATTCACGGACGTCCCGCGGCACGCCTTGGGCATGTGTCCCCGGCGCGCACGTCCGTTGCCGAGGCCGCGACATGCAGGCGAAAAGCGAAGCCATAACCCCCGCGTGGGGCCCCGCGCACTCCCCACACCTCGCCCCGCCTGCTGGCCCGCGCATTCCCGCACACCCTGGCGGTGCCGCACAGACGGCACCCCAGAGGTTGCCTACATCCACTGCACTGGGTCCGCGCGCGCTGGAGAGCTCATGCTTAGTCTTCGCCTGCCATGCTGAAAAAAACAGGGTTCTTGGTTTCAACGCGTTCCTCGAGGACCCAGGGTAAGTTCCCCGACAGATCGGACGCGCGGCTGCCCACAAGGACGCGTCCTCGGGACACAGTCGACACCAGCCCTCCTGCACAGAGACGGCCACGTCCCGCCAGGCAAAGCCCACCTGCCCGATTCCGAAAACCCTCAACCAAAAAATGTTGTCATCCCTGGGGGGCGCATCTTTTACTTCCACCGCCATCCGCCGGCTTCCGCTGGCTTCCGCTGGCGGAGGTAACATAGTTTTACTTCCGCCACCCTCCGCCAGCCTTCCGCCGCCTTCTGCCGAGGAAGAGATGACAGCTCCTCCGAGTCTCGAAGGCGATGCCGTTTCCGACTGGCGAACGAGGCAGCCGAAGGGGTCGCTTCACACGTCTGCCTGCCCGCTCCACCGCTCAGCTGGACAAGGGGGGCGGCCCAGCACCCCAGCCGCTCCCCTCTCGGCCCTCCGCTCGAGCAGTCGGAGCAGGGCGAGTGGAGACACCTGCAGCTCCAGAGTGGCCTCTGGACCCACCCTGGGGCCCCAGCGCACCCGTTCCCCGAGCTGCGCCTGGCCGTGGCGACGAGGGCTGGCGGCGCGCACAACGGGGTAGGGGGAGGGGGGAGGGCTTCTTAGCAGGAGGCTGCCTCTTAGCAGGCGCCGGCCCCGTACCTCCAGAGAAGGCTCGCGCCTCCTGAGAAGCCGGGGTGCGACTGAGAAGCCTTCCCCCCCCCCTCCCCCACAGCACCCTCCGCGCGTGGCCGAGGAGGAGACCCCCCCGAAGGCCGAAGGCCAATCGCCGCCGTCTCGGCTCGCCCTCCCGGCCCGCGGGCCTCCGCACGGCGCGACAGAGAGCCAGCGCCTCGCGCGCCCTCCCGAGCGCAGCGTGCCCCGCCCGAGCCTCGGAGCAGGGAGGCCGAGGCTCAAGTCGGGCAGGTCCCCCTGCAGGGGGAGCTTGGACGAAGAACTGAAGATACCCAAGAAATCCCAGATGGACCAAACAGGAGTCGAGAGATCGTCCCCCGACTATTTTAATGACTATTCCTCGCATGTTCCTCCTGTCGAGGGACAGGCCCGACGCAAGCCGAGGCCCGCGCAAGGAGAACAGGCCGGCGGGGGTCGCGGGCGGCCCGGGGACCGCTGCGGCCGGCCGGCGGCGCTTCGGCGCTCGGCGGCATCGGCGAGCCCGCGCGCCCCGAAAGAGAGCGGGGCGGCGGGCCCGCGCGCCCCCCGGGAGGTCCTGGCGCCCCGGGCTGTGCGAGCCGGGCGCTCTCGCACGGCTCCGGGCGCCCGGGCCCCTCGCGGCTCGATGCGGCTCGAGGCCTCGTGCAGGAGGGTGGCGCCCAGGGCTCCAGTGGTCAATGTCCTGCGACCTTGCAGCACTTCCCCAGCGTGAGATTCGAGGGTCTCGCCGCGGCCACCGGGGCGGCGGCGACGTCGCCGTCGGCGGAGGTGCTCAGGTGCTGCGCCCAGTGGCCAGCCTGACGCCAGGCGCTGGCACGCCGAGGGCTGCCGAAGAGCGCGCAGGCTCGCCGAGGCCGCCGAGCGCCGGCCCGCCGCCGGGCCAGTCGCAGCGCGCCGGCGGCTCCTTGAGGAGCCTGTAGGCCTCCTCGGCCCTGGACCACTCCTGCGGGCCGGGCAGCGGCGGGGTGCGCGCCCACCCCGCTCCGCCGCGCAGGCGGGGGTGCTCGCGCGCGGTCGCTGCTCGAGCGGCCGATGCCGGGCGCCAAGAATGTGCGCCAGCAGCAACACCTTCGTCCGCCCTCCCCTCCTCCAGCCTCTTCCTCTCGTCCTTTCCTGGGAGAGGGCGGACTTTTGGATTCCACGCGTGTGAAACCATCTGGCTGTCACGTGGAGGCGGCGCTGCAACTAGCAGAGCGCTTGCACAAGTCAGCTGCACGGGCACAGGAAAGGGAGGGAGGAGGGAGGCGGTGGTGGTGCACATTGTTGAGCCCCGTATGCCTGGCGGAGGGCGGGCAGCGAGGGCAGAGAGGCGAGCACGGCATGCGGGGTCACCTTCTCTTGCGTTACCAGGATTCCGCTGGGCATCGCGGTGAGAGAGGCCGAGAGGAGGCGAGGCAAACTGGGTGGCTATTCTGGTTGTTGCACGCTTTGAGGATGGCAACGCAAGTTTGGGCCCAATCCCAAAAAACACCCTTTGACGCAGCCTCAACACCCGAACCGCAGGCGCCCTTGTCATATCTACTGGGGAGCCAAGAAATATCGATACAGCTCCTCCCAGAACCTACCCCGGCGCGCGCTCTGAGCAGGGCTTCGAGGCGAATCCAGCGGTGTCGACGAGGGACCGGGAGGGCAAGGCAAGTTTCTCAGTTGGCGCAGGCCCGGTGCATGCAACAACATATCGTCGGCAAACTGTAAATTGAAAGGATGGAGTCCGTGCAGCAGCCAATTTGCATGCCGAGCCAGGCACAGCGACAAGCTGAGCGCCTCGAAGCTTTTCTGCCCTGAGGCTATCTGGCTAATCTGTTTCTGCGCCCGCCCACGGCATGGAGAGCGATCAGCGCCTTGATATACTGCAACAGTACCTGTTTGACTGGAAGATGGGCCTGGGAATAACGGTAAGCAGATCACGGGAAACGGCTGCTCCTTAGTTTGGCGCCATCCTCCACCTATTATCCCAAAGGTCAAACGTCACGTGAACAAGCCTGTCCCAAGACGCACAGCTCTCACCGACGATGCGTCGAACCCTATTCGGGCGAGACCTGGACAATGCATGGATCGATGCGTATACATACACACACATACGCACACACACACACTTTGTTTTCGCTGATGCTCCCTCTCCCCCTCAGTAATACACTCTCCCTCTCAGTACACACACCCACACCCACAGCGCAGCACAAGACAGGACAACACAGGACAATACAACACGCACACACACACACACACTTCTGGAATTGCGGCCACGTGCGCAGCGGCGCGGCGTAGACACGCAAGTGGGAGGGAGCGCGCGACCAGGCCAGCACACACACACACACACAAACACAAACAAACAAACAAACAAACAAACAAACAAACAAACAAACAAACAAACACACACTCTCATTCGCGGCCAGCTCGTCCAACGCAGCGAGGGCAAAAGCGGAACGCGCTTGAACAAGAATGACCACCGATCGTGTGCCGATGGGAGATCAGACAGGTGAACGGTTGACAGTTGCAAGTATATACACACACACCAGCAACGAAACATACAACATGCACACGCACGCGCGCGCGCTCAAGCAAAAAGAAACACGTGCGGACCCATATGCGTGCATGAGACACAGTACACGGTTCTCCCGACAACGGCCTTGCCAGGGTGCAGGAGATCGTCCTCAAGGAGCCGGCCGCCATTCTTGTCGGGGTGGTACACTTTGCTGGCCGTGAGGAAGGCTTTCCTGGCCACTGCCCTCGACGGGACGACGGGGGCAAGATTCCCAAGTAGACGACTGCCGCTTCCCACCACCCTGCTCCAGCGGAGGAGGCCCGAGATGGACGTGACACCGCTGCGCCTGCAGCGCGGCGGGTGTGAGTCAAGCCCCCGTGCAGCTCTGAGGCAAGCACCGCCTCTCGCGGAGAAACAATCCAGGCCCCCGTCACTGCAGGGGCACTCAGAGAGACGCGTTTTTTGCATATGCGTGGAGGGCTCTCCCCCCCTTGCCTGGTCCTTGTGGCCGCTCTTCGTCCAGCTCCCCTCCAATCTTGCACGGGCGCAATTCGCGTGCATCGCATCCCGAGCTCGCTGCCGCTTAAGAGTGCCTCCGGGGACGCTGACCAAAAATACAAGTTTAGCACCAAGCCTCAAAGGTTCTCGAACTTAGTCTTTCCAAGTCAGCGCTGCTCACTCTACAATGCTGGTGCGTTTCGTGCCCCAGCGGGCGGCCTCCAACGCCCACAACACGACCAAATGACAGAGGTGTCCTACGGCCAGCTTCAGATGGCCTCAGAATCGTCTGAACACCGACCTCAAACCCGTTCGGACTGCCAAACCCCCTTTGCACGACCAGAAGACCGCCCGAGACGGCCCGGAGACCTCGAGAGGCCCCTGGGAGACTAAGACTATTCAAGGAGGTACCCAATACTCCTCCTCCTCCTCCTCCTCCTCCTCCTCCTCCTCCTCCTCCTCCTCCTCCTCCTCCCCCCATGCCTCGTGTCCTTATCCCTGTCCTTTCCTTCCTCCTCATCGTAGTCCCAATGCTCTTGCTCCTCCTCCTCATCATCTCCTCATCAGCCTCATCCTCATCATCATCCTCATCCTCATCCTCATCCTCATCCTCATCCTCATCGTCATCATCATCATCATCATCATCATCATCATCATCATCATCATCATCATCATCATCATCATCATCATCATCATCATCATGATCATCAGCAGCAGCATCATCATCATCAATATAATCATCATCATCATCATCGTCATCAGAATCATAATCATCATGTTCATCATCATGTTCATCATAATCAGCAGCAGCATCAGCATAATCATATCATCAACAGCAGCAGCATCATCATCAGCAGCAGCATCACAATCATGCTTATCGCCAGCATCATCATCATCCGCATCAGCATCAGCATCAGCATCAGCATCATCATCACCATCACCATCACCAGCATTAGCATCATCATCATCAGCATCATCATCATCAGCATCATCATCATCATCACCACCATCACCATCACCATCATCATGATCAGCATCATCAGCAGCAGCAGCATCATCACCATCGTCATCAGTATGCCCCTCCACCCCCATACCTGTCTCCTCGTACTCTTCTACCTCCTCATCCTCCTCATCCTCCTCATCCTCATCCCCCTCCTCCCCCTCCCCCTCCTCCTCCTCCTTCTCCTCCTCCTCATCCTCCTCCCCCTCCTCCTCCTCTTCCTTCTCCTGCGCCTCCTCCTCCTCCTCCTCCTGCTTCTGCTCCTCCTCCTCCTCCTCCTCCTCCTCCTCCTCATCCTCCTCCACCTCCTCGTCATCCTGCATCCTCCTCCCTGGCCCCTTCCTCCCCAATCACGCAGCCTCCTTCCTCCTGCGCCACCTCCTCCTCTGCCACCTGTACCTCCTCCTCCTCCTCCTCCTCACCCTCCTCCTCCTCCTCCTCCGCCCCCTCCTCCCCCACCTCCTCCTCCTCCTCCTCCTCCTCCTCCTCCTCCTCCTCCTCCTCCTCCTCCTCCTCCTCTGCAGGGCACCGATGGGGGGGACTGACTCAGAGGGGGCGCGCAGTGAGCTGGCATCGTCAGTGCGCCGTGGATACCAAGGTATCCGACCCAACTTACGGGTCAACAGATTGGCAGCCGCCAATCATCTTCTTTCTCCCTCCTCCCCATCCTCGTCCTCTTCCCTCCAGTGAATCCTCCTCCTCCCCTCCTCCTCCTCCTCCTCCTCCTCCTTCATCTCCTCCTCCTCCGCCTCCTCTTCCTCCTCCGCCTCCTCTTCCTCCTCCTCATCCTCCTCCTCCTTCTCCTCTTCCTCCTCCTCCCCCTACGCCTCCGCCTCCGCGCCTCCGTCTCCTCCTCCTCCTCCTCCTCCTCCCCTCGCCTTCTCCTCTCTCCTCCCCCTCCCCCTCCCCCTCCCCCTCCCCCTCCTCCTCCTCCTCCTCCTCCACCTCTGCCTCCTTGTCCTTCTCCTCATCTTCCCTCCTCGCTCATAGTATTTCTCCCACCTGTTCCCTCCAAGGGATCTCTAACCACCCAGAGCGGCATCCCCCCACCGGCCTGATCTGGCTGGGGCCTGCCCCAAAGGGTACTCCCAGCACCTGCCACGGCGCGCGGCATGGGGGGCCCGGGGAGAGGGAGGAGGGGTCGGTGAGGGTGAAGGAGGAGGGGGGACAAAGAGGAGACGGGGAGATTACAAAAGATGTTTACGTAAATATAGTGGGTGTGTGGATGTGTGGGAGGGGGGAGCGGTGTTAGGCGTTTCTAGCGGGCTGTAAGGGGCTCCAGTGGGAAAGGGAAGAATAATACGGCGTGAAATAGGAAACATGATACCAAACGTAATCACAATAATAACATGATGATGGCTATGATGATGGTGGTGATGATGATGCAGATGCTAATGATGATGGCGGCCATGATGGTGGCGGTGATGATGGTGGTGGTGTTGGTGATGGTGATGGTGATGGTGATGGTGATGGTGATGGTGATGGTGATGGTGATGGTGATGGTGATGGTGATGGTGATGGTGATGGTGACGGTGATGGTGATGATGATGGTGATGGTGATAATGCTGATGATGATGATGATGATGATGATGATGATGATGATGCCAGTGATGAAGATGCAATCAATCTCCCATCTCGAAAGAGCGCCTTGTAAGGATCCGGTCGCCCTCCTTCGTCAAGAAACGCCTCCCTTCGCACTTGCTGCGCTACCTTCCACCCTTGTCGCGGGCTCCCTGATCGGAAACATCATATGGATTGATCATCCACTGCTGCCCCAATACAAAAATCATCCCGAATCAACCAAGCATCGCATTGTTCACAAAGATGTCATCAGGATTCCATTATTGGGCAAAGGCATCTCTGTTGCTTGGGGGATGCACTCACAGACACAACACGCAGCGGTGTGCACTGGGCGGAGGCGATCAGCTACAGCGATTGCTGCTGCATGCCAGATAGTATCGAATCCGATTGAGACGCTTCACATCACCTCCCCTGCACATCTCCTCAGCCTGAGCGCGGCTGTGACTCATCGCACACCCCATCCCATGCACATCACCCCAGTCTTGCACTGCCGAGGACCATTGCAAGCAGGTCGCAGACGACAGACCACCCATGCAACATGCCACATCTGCCACCAGCCCTCTGAACAACCCCTTGCGGCACGCTGGCGGGCTCGAGGTGAGACAGAGGGGACAGCTCATCGATTAGGCCAAGCCCCGATGCTTAGTGGGCTACCAGTGAGAGGAGTTCGGCGTCGTGCCTTCCCTCCTCAGGTTACCCCCTCGCTGTACCCTCTGCCCCATCCTCTTCTCTCCCCATCCACCTGAGCCTCCGCATCCTCTCCCCAGCCCACCCACCCTACCTCTCCTCCTCTGCCCCGCCCCCTGCTATGTCCTCTCCCGAACGCCGCCCTCTCGCCTTCCCCTCCTCAGCCTGGAGAGACTGACCAGCTCTTCTCAGATCGCGGTACTCACCCTTGGCTCAACTTGAGGCCTCCTGGGGGCCTCCTGGAGGCCTCCAAGAGGGTAAAAACCTTCGAAGACCTCGACCCTCGGAGGGGAGAAGAAGGAGGAGGAGGAGGATTGAGGAGAAGGAGGAGGAGGAGGAAGAGAAGAAGCAGGAGGCATGCCCCCAAGGGGGGGAGGAGGCATGCCCCCAGGGAGGGCGAAAACTCTCCGTGCACCCTCGAGGAGGAGAAGCAGGAAGCATGCCCCCGAAGCCCCGTTCGCCTCGTCTGCCGCCGCGGACCCCGAGCGCGGGGTGTTTCCTGGGCCCACCCCCGCCGCCGGCCGCGGAGCGGGCCGCGCTGCCACAGGCCAAGCCGTATGACGAGCGAGCGAGCGAGCGAGCCGCCAAGGCGTAGCATCTATCGAGGAAGTGGCCGTGGCCGCCATGCACTGTCGCACGCGGAAGACATGCATCCGTGCGATGAGGACGACGAGCGTGGAGGCGGCGAGGGAGGACAGCGAGGCGGGGCATGTTCCTCCTGCTACTCATGCTCCCCTCCCTTCCGAATGCCTTCACCTCCTTTGCGTTCACTTCCTCATGTCCCTCCTCCTCCTCCTCCTACTCCTCCTCACCATGATCACCACCACCACCACCACCAAGGCCATAATCACCATCATCATTGTCGTCATCATCAGCAGCATCATCATCATCATCATCATCATCATCATCACCACCACCACCACCACCACCACCACCATCATCATCATCATCATCATCATCAGCATCAGCATCAGCATCAGCATCATCATCATCATCATCATCATCATCATCATCAGCATCATCATCAGCATCATCATCATGGTCATGGTCATCATGGTCATCATGAGCAGCAGCAGCAGCATCATCAGCAGCATCATAATCAGCATCATCGCCACCATCATCCTCATCATCAGCATCAGCATCATCATCAACTTAATCGTCATTTCAATCATCGTCCTCAGCATTATCATCTTCATCATCATTACCAGCACCAGCATCACCATCATCACCATCATCATCATAATCACCACAAGCAGCATCACAATACTAAGAATCATCTTCCGCAGCATTTCAATAATAATCATCGTCATCAGAAGCATCATCATCGGAATCATCATCATCATCATAATCAGCATCCGCATCAGCATCATCATCATCACCATCATCATCAGCATCACCATCAAAAAGATCATCATAATCATCAGCAGCAGCAGCAGCAGCATCATCAACATTATCGTCGTCGTCGTCAAAAACATCACTGGTATCACCACCATCATCATCATCATCATCATCATCATCATCATCATCATCATCATCATCATCATCATCATCATCATCGTCAGAATCAACAACCTCATCGTCATCATCAGCATCATCATCATCGCATCATCATCACCATCATCTTCATCATCATTCGTCGTCATCATCAGCATCAGCATCATCAGCATCATCACCGTCATCATCATCATCATCACCACCATCATCATCATCATCATCATCATCATCGTCACCATCACCATCACCATCACCATCATCATCAGCAGCAGCATCACCATGATCAGAATCAGCATCATGATCGTCATCATCATCAGCACCGCCATCATCAGCATCATGATTATGATCATCATTCCCTTCAGCACGATCATCATCATCACCACCAGCACCACCATCATGACATCACAATCATCGTCATCATCGTCACCCTCATCACAAGCGTCATCATCATAAGCATCATCAACAGCATCAGTACCAGCATCAGCATCAGAATCAGCATCGGCAGCAGCAGCAGCATCAGCATCAGCATCATCATCAGCAGCATCATCGTCGTAATCGCCATCATCAGCATCGTTATCTTCAGCATCAGCATCATCACCACCATCATCATCATCGTCATCATCATAAGAATAAGCCTCAGCATCACCATCGTCAGAATCAACATCAACATCGTCATCATCATCCCTCATCCCTCATCCCTCATCCCTCATCCCTCATCCCTCATCCTTATCCTCCAGCTCCATTCCCCTCCCAACCCCTCACTTCCTCTGCGTTCACCTCCGCCTTCCACTCCTCCTCATCCTCCTCCTTTTCCTCCTCCACCTCCTCCTTTTCCTCCTTCGCCTCCTGCTCTTCCTTCTCATCCTCATCCTCCTCCGCATCCTCCTCAATTCGACACTGACGTAATTAGCTAATAAAACCTAGGATAGCCCCTCGCTAGCTGTGAGGCATTAAGGGTGCTAGCCCGCTAAAACCTTGCAAGAGAAAAACTGTCCCAAGCCACGGGGGGCCGACAGGAAAAACAAAAAACAACAAAAACAGAATCGAAAAGAAAAAAACAACAACAAACAACAAAAAAAAGACAAAAGCAAAAAGAAACAAAAAAAGGCCCCGCAGGGCCGAGGGTGCGCGGGGGGGGGGTTGTGAATGGCGACGAGTAGCCGCCTCTCACACAAGTAAAGCTCCTCCACAGCATGACCACCTCCCCCTCCATCCGCCCCATCCCACAATCCACCGCTCACAAGGCAGGCGGCATCCGAGGCCCTTGCCGTGGAAGGAAGAGCGGCCACACACCACCGCCTGGCGGCGGCGGCGCCGGCGGCTGCGCCGCGGGCTGGGAGCAGTGCAGTCAGGCAGACTCCTGATACTGACGAGGAAGGAGAGAAAAGAAACAAGAGCAGGCTATCCCACTCACGTAGTTGCTCACGAGATTGGGGGGCCCGAAACCGCAATTCAGCCGCAGGAGGTAAGGGAGGGATGGCTTTGAGTCGAGGCAGACGCTGCGAATGCAAGTCGATCGGGGGGGAGGTGTAGGAGGGTATGCCCTTAGAAGCGGCGCGCGCCACACGTCCTCTAATCCCACAAGCCCTCTGGGCGTGAGTGGTTTCAAGCTTTTTCTCTTACAATCCCTACTATTCCCCCTCAGGGACCGTTGCATCACTCTTCCCTAACTGATAAACACCTCATCCCCCTGGCGACCGGCAGCCAACCAGAAACAATGAGGACCCCATGAGATCCCCCAAACCATCCTTATCCAAAAACCATACGAGCACACACTCTGCCTCCAAATTCGGAACATGCGCAACCAACCCGATGCGGGCACCCCCCTCCCCACCATCCGTGTCAAAAGAATATACACAGTACACTTTGTGGCAAAGTCTGAAGTCATGTTCGTGAGGCCCGCGAACACTTGCATTGTTCTGGCAAGGACGGCGACGGTGTCAGCATATTGCCTGCTGCGCGCAGGGCTACCATCGCTGACAAAAACAATGCAAAATGCACCTCGCGGCTAAATCTGGATCATGCGCGGCCACCCCGGGATCACTGTCAAATGGTTGTTGGCAGGGACGGCGGGTGTGGTGACGTATTGCCTGCTGTGCGCAGGCCCACCAAACACAATGATGGGCAGTGGTTTTCGACAAAGATGGTGGGGACCGACATGTTTCCCGATATGTGCTGTCACGTGCACAGGCGCACCTGACAAACTCTGCACGTGCCCCGACCGTGGCGCACCTGGCGCGGCTGAAATATGCGGCACTCCTGGCGCACGCGGACGCACGTGGCGCATCTCACGCACCAGGCGTGCCTGGCACGCTCGGGCCCCAAGGGTGCCTGGCGCGCGTGACGCGCCCGGCACGCGTGGCGAACGTCGCCCCAGCGTCGCGCACATGGGCTCGGTGCTGGTCCCCACTAGCTGCCCATCCAAAGATGACCGCTGAACATGCTGAGGCGCGGGTGTCACTCATTTGTTGGGAGGGCGGGTGGAAGTGACCTAGATGGTTTGCTATCTAAGAGGGTGTTTTAACCGTTCCCCCCTACTCGCTGGAGCGTCCGAGACGGCCCATCATGGCGACGCGCGTTCCTGTAGACTGTTGGGGAAACCAAAAGTTTTCAATCACAGCATGCTACCAGGCTGGCCTCCCGCGCACGCATGTCGAACTCGCTCGAATGCCGCTGCGCGCGTGCTGTCACAGGAATCAATGCACAACAACTGGGACGACATGCGCACGCGCACGTCGTCGCGTGCGCATGCCAAAATTAGTTTGAAACAATTGTTCCCGTAAATATTTCAAAGCCCGGAAACATACAAAAATACCAAGTATCCGTTTGTTCAAATATACAGACAACAAACCGTTCACGTTCTTGCGAACCCCGAAAAAAAACACAATAATAGCACAAGTTCATAAAATGCTACCAACTGTGCCTCTCGCGCGCGCGTGTTGTTGCAAGAACCGTTTGCAAAAAAACTGGACGAACTGCACACGCGCGCGCCGTCGTGCGCGCATGCCGAAATCCTTTAGAAACCGTCGGTGTCGGACAGATCTCAAATCAAGTGCCTATTGTTCGATGATTATATATATATACAAAAATTTCGCAACACGGAGTTTCAACAAAAGCGTGCGCGCGTTCTTGCGAATTCTCAGGACAATCATCGGTTTTCTAGCACGTTCAAATAGTGTTACCAAACACGCTTCACCCTTGCGCGTTCAAACGTTCAAACGCCCTTGCGCGCGCGCTGGGGCGGCACGATCCGTGTCAAATAATACCATGCGAGCCACTCTCGCGCGTCTGCCGCGCGCGCACTTCGAATTCCTTCCAAAACCTGCATCACCGACGCGAAGACATCGTCATCGTCGCCAGCGTGATCAGCATCGGTGCCGTCACTGGCTGCCCCGTCGTTGCTGCCAGCATCGCCACCAGCATCGCTACGATCATCACCGTGTCTACCGTTATCATAGTTGCCATGATACCACGCCCGCCCAAACCACCGACTCGCACTGAAGTGCCCGCTGGGACGCGCCAAGCGGTCAGCGCCACCGCGTTCGCGTCGGCCGCGCCAAACTAGCTGGCCACTGCGCGCGCGAGCATGCGCGGGCCAGCGCGGCCAAAGAGATGCACCAGCCAACACCCAGCACTCATCGCAATCGCTCCCGCATGGGTTTTCCAAACCAAATTGCGGGTGGGGGGGCGGGACGATTGCGCGAGCAGTGGAAACGGCGACTTCAGATCCGGCAGGCGAGTTGCACCACCAAAGTAGCAACGCATTGACTGCACAAGGAATATCAAAATCTACCCGCCACCCCTCTCCCCATCCACCCCGCAAGTTTACCGGGCCCCCTGGGAATGTGCAATTTAAATATGATTACGCCTCGGCGCCCGCCCTACATATGAACTCGCACAAGCCCGGGCAGCCCCCCCCCCTCATCCTCTGTAGAACAGTTTGCGCGCACACTCGTTTATCATTTCCCCCAGTGCGACCCGACCCAGGAGTTGGAGCCTCTGAAAGCAACATTAGTAGGAGCGGTAAACGCCGTCCTCCTCCTTCTCCCCATCGTCGTAGTTGTAGCAGTAGCGGTAGTAGTAGTAGTAGTAGTAGTAGTAGTAATAGTAATAGTAGTGGTAGTAGTAGTAGTAGTAGTAGTAGTACTACTACTACTACTAGTGGTAGTAGTAGTAGTAGTAGTAGTAGTAGTAGTAGTAGTAGTAGTAGTAGTTGTAGTCGTAGTAGTAGTAGTAGTAGTAGTAGTAGTAGTAGCAGTAGTAGCAGTAGCGCCGAAACCGCCGACGCCACGCCGCAAGTGAGGCAGCAGCAGAAGCAGGCAGCAAGTCGCCGAGACAGCAGCAAAAGCAAGCAGGCACGGAGATGAGGGCGGGGCGCTGGGGAGTTCTTTACATCTACAACTACACCTACATATACATCGACACCTACTTCTACATCTCGACCTGAATATACATCCACCTACAGCTACGTCTACATCTACACATGCACCTACTTCTCCGTCTACACCAACAGCGAACCTCACATCTACATCTACATTTACACCTACATATGAACTTACATCTACATATACATCTACATATACATCTACATCTACACCTACATCCACATCTACACGTACACCTACGTCTACATCTACATCTACACTTTCGCATTGGTTTGGCTGTTGCCTTGCGTCGCCATTGCTTTTGCTCCTGCCTTTGCTTTTGCCTTTGCCTTTGCTTTTGCTTTTGATGTTGTTTCTGCTGTGATTTAGTTTTCGCTTTTGCTCGGTTTTGCTTTTGCTTCGCCTGCGCACAGACACACGCGCGCACGTTTTTGCACTCACTCACCGGGCGTGCTTGAGAATGCCCCGGATCCGGCCTACACCGCACGACTCGGCATTGAAAAACGTTGTGCAATACTTGCTACACCGAACGTTCCTGCGAAACTGCACGGCAGCAGCAACTCCCAGATCTGCGCAACAAGCTGTTCAGCATTGTTTCGGCGGGCATCATCGGCGCTGGAATATGCGGTTTCACCAGGGCGGTGCGACCACAACCCCCCCGCTGTCGTGGAGTCGCCCGAACCACTCTTGGCGGGCAAGGACTGTGTCGAATAACCAGTAGCACACGGATCGCCGTGACTGGCTCCCCTTCCGCAACTCGCTGATATTGTAGCAGAAACGCTGCGAGTTAACAATCGGCCGTCGTATTTGAGCAGGGATGTGCTCGCAGCCGATTTGCAAGAGGCGGTCACCGAACTCGCTGTGATGCAGAAAGCAAGCAAACACCGCATTCGCTCTGCAGCTCTGGTAGTAGCACTGATCCCAAGCGTTCCTCCGCATATCAACAGCGCTCTCTGGCACGATGCTACGCTATGCTATGCTATGCTCTGATATGCGATGCTATGCTACGCTATGCTATGCTATGCCCTGCTATGCTACGCTATGCTATGCTATGCTGCGCAATGATGCTGGGCTAGGCTAGGCTAAGCTAGGCTATGTTATGCTATGCTATGCTATGCTATGCTATGTTATGATGTTGCTTTGCCTTCGTGTTTGCCGTCACGTTTGCCTTTGTTGTTGTTTTTGCTTGGCGCCCAGGGAGCGCAAATGGGGGAACCGCGCGTTTGCTTGCACCTTTGCGGTTGCTTTCGCTTGGCTCCCAGGGGATTGCGGGAACCGCCCGGGGCGGTTTGCACTGCCCGGCCCCTTTAGGCCAAGCGAGTAAGAACCCTTCCGGGCAGAGCCCACGTAGGGGAAAAACACTAATTGTCATCCATCCCTTGTAAAGGTATGACGAACTGCACACGCGCGCGTCGTCGCGCGCACATGCCGAAAACGGGCAAAATCCGTCGGCGCCGTAAGGATTTCACAATCGAGCGCCCCGAAAACAGACTAAGAATATATGGCTGCGCAACAAAATGTTCCCCAAACCCTGAAAAAATGCGCCCCCGCTCGAGCAGAGTCTAAAGACAAATTTGCAACAATTGCAGAACATGCTACCATATGGGCCTCTCGCGCGCGCATGTCGAAATAATTCGGACGCCCTTGCGCGCGCGCTGTCGCAAGAACCCCTTACATAAAACGGAAAGACATGCACACGCGCGCGTCGTCGCGGGCGCATGGCAAAGTCCTCACCAACCGATGCTTCCGTAAGGACTTCAAAGTCGAGAACCCCGGATTTGTTCCCCAGAACAAAATTTGAACAAAAAACTGGTGTTGCAACATCAGTTTTCCAACCGATTGCGCTCGCGCTCTTGCGAACTCCCCAGAGAACCATGCATTTTCACCCTGTCGATTCAATTATGTCAACCAGCCATTTCGCGCCACATGTCGACATTATCCGAACGCCATTCGCGCGTGCATGGGGGGGCACGATCCGTGAGCCACTCTCGCGCGTCGGCCGCGCGCGGATGTCGAGCTCCTTCCAAAACTTGCACCACCGACGCGAAGACATCGTCATCGTTACCGGCGGCAACATCGGCGCCGTCACTGGCTTTGCCGTCGGTATCGCCACCTTCGTCACCGCCATCGCTACTCTCATCATCGCGTCTACCGTTGTCGCTGTCGCGATGATGCCGCGCCCGCCCAAATCACCGACTCCCACAGAGGTGCCCGATGAAGGGTGCCCATCGGTCAGCGCCAGCGCGGCCGCGTCGGTCGCGCCGCACTAGCTGGCCGCTGCGCGCGCGAGCATGCGCGGGCGAGCGCGGCCGCAGAGATGCACCAGCCAACACCAAGCACTCATCGCAATCGCCCCCGCATGGGTTTTGCAAACCCAGTTGCGGGTGGATGGGTGGGATGATTGCGGGAGCAGTGAAGTTGACAACTTCAAGTTCGCCAAGTGAATTCTCCGTTTAAAAAAAAGAATAGACTCTCCCCCCCGGACTTATCGGCTCCCCCTGGGATAGTATGATTTCATATCTATATAGATACACACACACATATATATATACATATATATATATTATGCACACTCGTCCGTCCTAAATTTGAAATCATATCATCCTAGCCAAACCGGTTCCCCCCCTGAGGTTCCCTTGCACTATATATATATATATAACACCAAAAAACAAAAACACAAAAAATAGCCTGGCGAAGGACCCAACCATATGCAGTTGTGAGTACCGTCGTTGTGAGTATCGCAATCGGTGGAGATCCCTGTGGGCCGCGAAAGGCTGTCCTGGGTAGGGGAGACGCATGTGACTGCAGCAACAGTTGCCTTCGGTGGAGCTCCCTATGGGGCCACGAAACGCTGTCCTGGGTGGGTGGAGACGCATGCGAACTGCGGCACTGGGGCTTTCGGTTGAGCTCCCTGTGGGGCAACGAAACGCTGTCCTGGATGGGGGAGACGCATGCGAGTGCAGTTGTGGCCTTCGGTGGAGCTCCATATGGGGCCACGAAGCGCTGTCCTGGATTGGGGAGACGCATGCGAACTGCGCCACTGGGACTTCGGTGGAGCTCCTTATGGGGCTACGAAAGGTTGGCCTGGGTGGGGGAGACGCATGCGAACTGCGCCACTGGGGCCTTCCTGGGTGGGGGAGACGCATGCGAACTGCGCCACTGGGACCCTCGGTGGAGCTCCCTATGGGGCCACGGAACGTTGTCCTGGGTGGGGGAGACGCATGCGAACTGCGCCACTGGGGCCTTTGGTGGAGCTCCCTATGGGGCCACGAAACGTTGTCCTGGGTGGGGGAGACGCATGCGAACTGCGCCACTGGGACCCTCGGTGGAGCTCCCTATGGGGCCACGAAACGCTGTCCTGGGTGGGGGGGACGCATGCGAACTGCGCCACTGGGACCTCGGTGGAGCTCCCTATGGGGCCACGAAACGCTGTCCTGGGTGGGGGAGACGCATGCGAACTGCGCCACTGGGGCCCTCGGTGGGGCTCCCTATGGGGCCACGAAACGCTGTCCTGGGTGGGGGGACGCATGATAACTGCGCCACTGGGACCCTCGGTGGAGCTCTCTATGGGGCCACGAAACGCTGTCCTGGGTGGGGGAGACGCATGCGAACTGCGGCATTGGGACCCTCGGTGGAGCTCCCTATGGGGCCACGAAACGCTGTCCTGGTTGGGGGAGACGCATGCGAACTGCACCAATGTGGCCTTCGGTGGGGCTCCCTATGGGGCCACGAAACGCTGTCCTGGGTGGGGGAGACGCATGCGAACTGCGCCACTGGGACCCTCGGTGGACTGGGACCATGTGGAATGTGAGGGTGTCCTGGGCGGGGAGACGCATGCGAACTGCGCCACTGGGACTTCGGTGGAGCTTCCTATGAGGCCACGAAACGTTGTCCTCCTGGATGGGGGAGACGCATGCGAACTGCGCCACTGGGGCCTTCGGTGGAGCTCCCTATGGGGCCACGAAACGCTGTCCTGGGTGGGGGAGACGCATGCGAACTGCGCCACTGGGACTTCGGTGGAGCTTCCTATGGGGCCACGAAAAGCTGTCCTGGGTGGGGGAGACGCATGCGAACTGCGCCACTGGGACCCTCGGTGGAGCTCCCTATGGGGCCACGAAACACTGTCCTGGGTGAGACGCATGCGAACTGCGCCACTGGGCCCTTAGGTGGAGCTCCCTATGGGGCTACGAAACGTGTGAGGGGTGCGCCGTGAGCAGAGGCAACGAGGGAGAGGAGGGCGGAGGGAGGAGGCAGCGGGAGGAGGAGGAGGAGGAGTGAGGGAGACGCGGGGCACCGTCTCTTCAAAACGAGGACCCAACACCACAGGATGGTTGGGAACTATGCGGTGACATTTGTTGTTATAACATAACACTTGTTCACGAATCCCTTGCAAAAAATAGAACGAAGTGCACACGCGCGCGTCGTCGCGCGCGCATGCCGAGATCCTTCAAAAGCCTTTGGTGCCGGAAGGATTTCGCAATCGAGTTCCAAAAAAAAACCATACAAAAACAAATGGTTTCGCAACACTGATTTGCTAAAAAAGCTTCCGCGCGAGCTCTTGCGAAATCTTAAGACAACCACCAGTTTTTCAAGATATTCACAAAATTCTACCAAACGGGTTTCGCGCGCGCATGTCGAAATCTGTCGAACGCCCTTGCGCGTGTGCCGTCGCGAGAATCCTCTGCAAAAAATCTGACGAAGTGCAGACGCGCGCGTCGTCGCGGGCGTATGCCGGAAACCTTCAAAACCCATCGTTTTCGGAAGGATTCCAAAATCGTGCGTCCAAAAAACCTACAAAAACCAAGGTTTCGCAACACGGATTTTCAACAAAAGCGTGCGCGCGCGCTCTTGCGTCGTCGTCGTCGTCGTCGTCGTCGCCGTCCTCCCTCCTCCCGCGTCGTCGTCGTCGTCGTCGCCTACGTCGTCCTCTGTCTTTTCTCGTGTTCGTCGTCGTCGTCCTCTTTGGCGTCGTGGTCGTTTCCGTCGTCGTTGTCGCCGTGGTCGTCCTTCCTCCTCCTCCCACGTCGTCGTCGTCCGTCGTCGGCGTTTCGTCGTCGTCCCTCCTATTTCGTCGCTGTCGTCGTCGTCGTTGTCGTCGTCGTCCCTCCTCCCTCGTCGTTGTCGTCGTCGGCGTCGCCGTCCTTCCTCCTGCGTCGTCGTTCGCGTCGTCGCCGTCTTCCCTCCTCCTTCGTCGTTGTCGTCGTTGTCGTCGTTGTCGCCGTCGTCGTCCTTCCTCCTCCCTCGCCGTCGCCTTCGTTGGCATCGTCGTCGTCGTCTTCGTCGTCGTCGGCGTCGGCGTCGTTGTCGTCGTCGAAGTCGTCGGAGACGTCGTCGGTGTCGTCCTAGTCGTTGTCGTCGGTGTCGTCGTAGTCGGTCTTAACAGGTTTAGCAAACCAAGTTGCGGATGGACGGGTGGGATGTTTGCGCGAGCAGTGGAGATGACGACTTCAAGTTCAGCAAAGTGGGTTTCACCGCATAGATTGTACCACCTACAATACACCAGATATCAAATTCAAACAGATTGCACCGCATACATTACACCACGTAGGTTGCACAGCGCAACAGTATTAGAGCGTATAAACCCCGCTACGCGCGAGCAGCGTGCGAGCAGCAGCAGGGGGGAGGGTCGGCGGCGCGCACAAGGGGGCAGGGGGAGGGGGGAAGGCTTCTTGGAAGGAGGGTGTTTCTTGGAAGCCGCGGGCCTCAGATCTGCCTGCCCCTCTTGCTTCATCTCATCTACGACGAGAAAAATCTATTGACACAACGCGTTATTGATACATTCCGGAGATTCCGGGATTTCTAACAGCATTCGCGCGGGGTACACTTTGCGTCGAGTTTTGTCTACTCTGGCTGGCGCCGCTGGTCGGTCACCCATTCACAATCGAGCGGTCGCCCGTAAGGGGGACGTGGATGACATCCACGTCCCCATCCTCCCCGCCCCGGGGGAGGAGGGGCCCGCCTGGACGAATACCTCGCGCCAGTCGTCGCCGCCGCCGCCGCCGTCGTCGCCGCAGCCGCGCCGACGTCGTCCTCATCGTCCACGCCTTCGGCGTCGTGGCCGCCGTCCTGGTCGGCCATCGTCGACGTCCTCGGCGCCGCCGTTCGGCGTCGTCGCCGACGGGCACGCCTCCATGTCCTCCTCCAGCCGCTCAAAGTCGAAGCGGTCCCTGGCGGCGGACGTAGCCACCCCCGCGCTGACCAGGCCGGACGCCCGCGGCCGTCGTCGTCGTCGTCGTCGTCGTCCTCGTCGTCGTCGTCCTCGTCCTCGTCCTTGTAGTCCTCCGTGCCACCCCCTCCTCCAGGACACGGAGGACGACGACGGCGGCGGCGAGGAGGAGAGAGGGGCAGGGAGTAGAAGCGGAGGAGGAGGAGCAGGGAAGAGCAGAGCAAGGAGCGACACGCTCATCAAGGTCGGCGGCCGCACAGAGATCCTGAACGCATTGAAGCCCATAAAAACGCGCAGCCGGTACGAACGTGCACACGAGCTGTTGTACTACCGATGGAATCTCCAGGAAAACCCACAGGAAGCTGCAGGAGGATGCAGAGGATACTGATACGGATACGGATGAGTCCGCGCAAAGGCTCTGCAGGGGAGCTGCTGACGGGGGTGTGCAGGCAACCAACGTAGGCCCGCTGACGGGCCAGATTCCCACAAGCCCCGCGACGTGAAAGTCAGGCAGAGAGCTGACGTCCTGGAAACTGGACGTCCCTGGAGCAGAGAAGAACTCCGGACGTCAGGATGCGGAGGGAAGGGGAGGAGTCCGGGGAGGAGGACGGACAGGGGAGGCAGGCAGAAGCGACCAAGGGCGTCGCAGGAGGACAGGGGGGGAGGGGGGCGCCTGGGCAGCGTGGGGGGGAGGGGGAGGACTGGCAGGAGGCGGCGGCAGGGGGGAAGGAGGAAGAAGGAAGACTGGTAGGAGATAGGGACAGGAGGAGGCAAGCAGGAGGAGGCGGAAGGGGAAGAGAAAGAGGAAGGAGGGGAAGGAAGAGCGAGGAGGAGAGGAGGAGCGGAGGGAAGGGAGGCGGAGGGGTAGCAAGAGAAGGGGGAGGAAAAGGTGAAGGGGAAGAGGAACGCGGACGCCGCAAGGAGGAAGGCAAGCAGGCAGGGTACCGCTGCGGACACATGTCCAGGCCTACCTCAGGCCAGGTTGGTGAGGCCGTGGCCTCAAGCACTTGGGGAAAAGTTCGTGGCAATAGAATTGCAGGAGTAGTTAGGTCAAGTCACCCTGTAAGAGGAAAAGGAAGGAGGTCCCTCAGACTCTGGGTGTCAATTTCCTCCGCGGTATTCTGAGCTGTGCTGCATGCGTTCGGGGTTACTGCCGGCGTCGTCGTTCACGAACTGTTTTTCCATCTGCACCCATGCAGCGTCGTCTGCCGCAGAGACCAAGCAAACGGTGCTGCTAACGTCGTACTGTTGCGGGCTGGTGAGTGGTGCATGCATGTAGTATGAAAGAACTCGCGTATGACGTATGTCGTCATCACATCGTTTGCACTGCCCACCTGATTTCCAGTGCCCCTTTAGATTGGCATGTAGGAAGGGGTGCCAACTGATGACGAGGATGGAGGAAGCAAGACGGGAGGGATGAAGCAGGAAAGATCTACAAGGAAGGAGGAGGATTGAGGAGGAGAATGAGGAGAATGAGGAGGAGGAGGAGGAGCAAGACGAGGGGAAGAAAGAGGCAAGCAGGAGGGGGTTGAGGAGAAAAAGGAGAAAGGAGGAAGAGGACGGTCAGGTAAGGCAAGGCGATCGGAGATCGATACAGCAAGCAACGACCCGAATACCCTTGTGCGTCTGAATATGGGCACAATGCCTTTGTTCATTATTTTGGGCCTGCTTGCGGGAGCCGCTGACGGGTGCTGTCCTGCTGCCAGGAGGAGGAACGAAGTGGAAGGGGAGGCGACCGGAGGAGCAAGAAAAAGAGGAGGGAGGAGGGAGGCGCAGTGAGGACGGGGGAGCGCCAGGAGGAAGGGAGTCTCGGAGAGGGGGGGGAGGCAACCCGGGGGAGAACGGGCGCACCAGCACGCCTCCTGACATGGGCCCCACCCCCCTCTCCTCGCCGCTGGCCCTCCGCGCGCCGCGCAGCGGCCCTCCACGGCCCAGCTCGACGCCCACGCCCACGCCCAGTGCAGGCCCCCGCTGCTACGTCGGCCGCCGGCGTCGCCACGCTTCTCCCGCGCGCGCGCGCGCGCCGGCCCCAACGATGCCCGCCTCCGCCACGCGCCCCCCGCCGCTCGCCGAGCAGCGGCGGCAGCCGCGGCCGCCCGTCGCCCCTGCCCCGGGCGCCCCGAGCCCGAGGCCGGCTCGTGCGAGCCCGCGGGCCGAATTCCCCGCGGAGCTTCCCAGCGGGGCCGAGGGGGCCCAGTGATGCCCTCAGAGGTGGCCTTCAAGACGTGGCAGGCGCTCCCCCGGCCGATCGAGCCGCTCAGCGGGCCTGTTCCAGAACACGACGGCCGCCTCTGGCTTCGCTTCAGGCAGCTGTGGAACCGACGGCAACTAAGAATCGCCAAGACTGCAGTCCAGCCCCAGCTACTCTGCACGCATCTCGCCAGACGACGGCAATTCTTGCTGCCACTTACTGCTCACCCAGGGTGTTGATTCCCCACAGGGCGCTCCACCGACGGCCCCAGTGCTACCGCCCGCATGCGTCCCCCCCCCACCCAGTACAGCGCTTCGTGGCCCCATGGGGAGCTCCAACGACGGCCCCAGCGCTACCGCCCGCATGAGTCCCCCCCACCCAGCGCTTCGTGACCCCATGGGGAGCTCCACCGACGGCCCCAGTTCTACAGCCCGCATGCGTTCCCCCCCCACCCAGTGCAGCGCTTCGTGGCCCCATAAGGAGCTTCACCGAAGGTTCCAGGTCTACCGCCCGCATGCGTACCCCCCACCCAGTACAGCGCTTCGTGGCCCCATAGGGAGCTCCACCGACGGCCCCAGTGCTAGCGCCCACATGCGTCCACCCACCCACTACAGCGCTTCGTGGCCCCATAGGGAGCTCCACCGAAGGCCCTGGTGCTATCGCCCGCATGCGTCCCCCACCCAGGCTTTTCGTGGCCCCATAGGAGCTCCACCGACGGCCCCAAGCGCACCGCCCATTGCGTTCCCCCACCCCACCCACCCAGTGCAGCGCTTCGTGGCCCCATAGGGAGCTCCACCGACGGCCCCATTGCTACCGCCCACATGCGTCACCCCACCCAGTACAGCGCTTCGTGGCCCCATTAAGGAGCTCCAGTGCCACCGTCCACATGCGTCCCCCCCACCCAGCGCTTCGTGGCCACATAGGGAGCTCCACCGAAGGCCCCAATGCTACTGCCCGCGTGCGCCCCCCCCAACCCAATACAGCGCTTCGTGGCCCCATAGGGAGCTCCACCGACGGCCCCAGGTCTAACGCCCGCATGCGTCCCCCCCACCCAGTACAGCGCTGCGTGGCAGCATAGGGAGCTCCACCGAAGGCCCCGGTGCTGCCGCCCGCATGCGTCCCCCAAACCACTACAGCGTTTCGTGGCCCCATAGGGAGCTCCACCGACGGCCCCAGTGCTACCGCCCGCATGCGTTCCCCCCCCACCCAGTGCAGCGCTTCGTGGCCCCATAAGGAGCTTCACCGAAGAAGATACTCACAATTGTGGTACCCACAACTGCATATGCTTGGGTCCTTCAGCCCTCTGGGCGTCGGTGGTTTAGGGCGTTTCCTCTTCCACCCCTCCTTCTTCCCCTTCGGGAAGGGGTTTACCCCTCCCCCTACCCCCTCCCCATGGACCTGGACAGGGGGTTCCGCGAGTCGTCGGAGCGTCCGAAACGGCCTCGGCGAGGAAGCCAAACTCATTAATTTTACTCAGGCCTTGTGGGGGGGGGAGGCGACGCTAATTAATGCTCCCCTCTTGTTTGATCGATCTCCTCCGAGATGGCCCCAAGAGCGCTCCCAAGGCTCCCAAGGGTGCCCCAAGAGGGCCCCAAGAGATGGCCAGGAGGCCCCAAGAGGCCCCCAAGAGGCCCCCAGGATGCCCCCAAGAAGCTCCCAAGAAACCCCCAAGAGGCCCCAAGAGGCCCCCCAGAGGCACCCAAAACGCACCAAGAGGCCTCGGCGAGAATGCTAAAACCATTGAGTTTGCGTAGATTTTGGCAACATGTTGGCCTCCTGGGTGGGGGGGCACTAATTAAGATGACTCCAAGAGCGCCTGGGAGAACCCAAGATGACCTCCAAGATGGCTCAAGATATCCCAAGATGCCTCAAGATGGCTCTCACGATGCTCCAAGAGGCCCCAAGACCGCCCCAAGACGGCTCCAAGTGGCCAAAGAGCTCCCCCAGGAGGCCCCGAAGAGGCAAAAATCATTCCAAAACCTTGGGAAATCAATCCAAGAGCGCCCAGGAGGCCCCAAGAGGCCCCAACTGACGCCGAAGAGGCCTCCAAGAGGCTCCCAACAGACCCCCAAGAGGCCTCAAGAAGCAATCGAGCCACCCAAGACGCTCTCAGAGGCGTTCGGGACCGCCAAGAGGACCCCAAGACGCTCCAAGAGGCCTCCACTGGGGTACCCTTCCTCTGTGTGCTGCCCACTTCCCTGATCGAGGCAATTCCTCTGGGCATCGTTTCTGGATGGGCTGGTGGGGTCACGCGAAACGGCTAGAAGTTTTGCCTATTTCCCAAACATCCTGTGGTGTTGGGTCCTCGTTCTGAAGAGACGTCGCCCCGCGTTCTCCTCCTCTCCTCTCCTCTCTCGTCTCCTCCTCCCCCTCCTCCCTCCTCCTCCCTCCTCCCCCTCTTCCCTGCGTTTCACCCACCCAGTACAGCGCTTCGTAGCCCCATACTCCACCGAAGGCCCCAGTGCCACCGTCCACATGCGTCCCCCCCACTCAGTACAGCGTTTCGTGGCCACATAAGGAGCTCCACCGAAGGCCCCAGTGCCACCGTCCACATGCGTCCCCCCCACTCAGTACAGCGCTTCGTGGCCCCTTAGGGAGCTCCACCGAGGGCCCCAGTGCCACCGTCCACATGCGTCCCCCCCACTCAGTACAGCGTTTCGTGGCCCCACACATAGGGAGCTCCACCAAAGGCCCCAGTGCCACCGTCCACATGCGTTCCCCACTCAGTACAGCGCTTCGTGGCCCCATAAGGAGCTCCACCGAAGCCCCAGTGCCACCGTCCACATGCGCCCCCCCACTCAGTACAGCGTTCGTGGCCACATAGGAGCCCCACGAAGGCCCCAGTGCTACCGTCCACATGCGTCCCCCCCACTCGTACAGCGTTTCGTGGCCCATAAGGAGCTCCACCGAAGGCCCCAGTGCCACCGTCCACATGCGTCCCCCCAAGTCAGTACAGCGTTTCGTGGCCCCATAGGGAGCTCTAACCGAAGGAACCAGTGCCACGTCACATGCGCCCCCCACTCAGTACAGCGTCGTGGCCCCATAGGGAGCTCCCACCGAAGGGTCCAGTGCCACCGTCCCACATGCGTCCCCCCCATGGCCAGCTGCTTTCGTCTGGCCCCATAAGCGCTCCACCGAAGGCCCAGTGCCACCGTCCACATGCGCCCCCCCCAGTACAGCGTTTCGTGGCCCCATAGGGAGCCCACCCCCCACTCAGTACAACGTTTCGTGGCCCCATAGGGAGCTTCACCGAAGGCCCCAGTGCCACCGTCCACATGCGTCCCCCCCAACCAGTGCAGCGCTTCGTGGCCACATAGGGAGCTCCACAGAAGCCCCCAGTGGGAACGTCCGAGTGCGTCCTGAAACACCCAATTTGGCATTTTCACCCACCCATTACAGCGTTTCGTGGCCCCACAGGGAGCTCCACCGAAGGCCCAGTCCCACCGTCCACATGCGTCCCGCACACCCAATGTGGCATTTTCACCCACACAGTGCAGCGTTTCGTGGCTCCACAGGGAGCTCCACCGAAGGCCTCAGTGGGACCGTCCGCAAGCGTCCCGAAACACCCGTTGAGTTTTTTCACCCACCCAGTCCACAATTTCGTGGCCCCGTAGGGAACTCCACCGAAGGTCCCAGTGCCACCGTTCGCGTGCGTCCCGAAAACCCAACGTGACAGTTTTACCCACCCAATACAGCGTTTCGTGGCCCCTTAGTGAGCTCCACCGAAGCCCCCAGTGGGACCGTCCGCATGCGTCCCGGAAGCCTAATTTGGCATTTAATTTTCACCCACCCAGTACAGCGTTTCGTGGCCCCATAGGGAGTTCCACCGAAGCCTCCAGTGGGACCGTCCGCATGCGTCCCCCGCACCCAATTTGGCATTTTCACCCACCCAGTACAGCGTTTCGTGGCCCCATGGGGAGCTCCACCGATGCCCCCAGTGGGACCGTCCGCATGCGTCCCGGAAACCTTACTTGACACACCACTCACCCAGAACAGCGTTCCCCCCCACCCAGTGCAGCGCTTCGTGGCCCCATAGGGAGTTTCACCGAAGAAGATTTTCACAATTGCGGTACCCACAACTGCATACGGTTGGATCGTTCGCCTGGATAATTTTGAACATTCCTCCTATAGAGGGACAGGCCCGACTGAAGGCGACACCCGCGGGTTACCTGAGGCTGAGCCCGTGTGGCACCCCGTCGACGGCCCTCGGGCGAGGCGAGGCCGTTGGGGCGAGGCCCGCGGCAGGCCTTCGGCGGCACCGGCCCCAGCGGAAGGCCTCCTGGCGGGAGGCTCTCCGTGGCACCCCAGCGCAAGGCTGAGGCCGGGCATGTCCCCCTACAGGCGGATGTTGATGGAAGAAAACTATCCCGGCGAAGGACCCAACCATATGAAGTTGTGGGTACCGCAACTGTGAATATCTTCTTCGGTGAAGCTCCGTATGAAACCACGAAGCGCTGCGCTGGGCGAGGGGGGAACGCATGCGGGCGATAACACTGGGGCCGTCAGTAAAGCTCCCTATGAGGCCACGAAACACGAAACACTGCACTGGGTGAGTGGAAATACCAAATTAGGCGTGTGGGACGCACGCGGGCGGTCCCATTGGGTGCTTCGGTGGAGCTCCCCATGAGGCCGCGAAGCGTTGTAAAGTGTAAAGGGTAGGTGCAAATGCCAAATTGGGTGTCGAAACGCTGTGCTGGGTGGGTGAAGCGCATGGAACAAGGAGGAGGGGAGGAGGGGGGGGAGGAGGAGGAGAGGAAAGGAACGCGGGGACCGTCTCTTCAAAACGAGGACCCAACACCACAGGATGGTTGGGAAAATTCAAATTATCCTGGCGAAGTACCCAACCATATGCAGTTGTGGGTACCGCAATTATGAATATGTTCTTCGGTGGAGCTCCCGATGGGGCCACGAAGCGCTGCACTGGGAGGGGGAGGAGGAGAACGAGGAGGAGGAGAACGCGGGGACCGTTATTTCAAAACGAAGACCCAACACCACAGGATGGTTGGGAAAAAATCGAGAACAATACCCCCAGAAGGCCAAAAAAATCAACAAAAATCGTCCCCGGACTATTTGTTTTTAAACTGCTCTTGAGCATTCGTGCTTCAGAAGGACATCCCCAACTTGACGTGAGGCCCTCGAGGCCACCCCCCCGGGACGGCCCGCGGCCAAGGCCCCCCCCGCGAAGGGGCCTGGCCGCAAGGGCACCGAGAGGGGCCCGCCCGCCCGCGGCCTCTTGCTGCGGAGGGGCCCCCCGGCCGCCGGAGACCGCCCCCCAGGCGCGCACGCGACCGAGGGACGACGTGCGAGCGCACGGTTTCCCCCCCGGCCGTAGGCGACCCGAGGAGGAGGAAGTGGAGGAGGAAGAGGGGCAGGAGGTGGAGGAGGGGGAAGGGGAGGAGGAGGAGGTGGAGGTGGAGGAGGGGGAGGGGGAGGAGGAGGAGGAGGAGGAGGAGGAGGAGGAGGAGGAGGAGGAGGAGGAGGAGGAGGAGGAGGCCCACGAAGGGTTGCGAAGGACCAAACAGTGGCGTCCGTCCCCGCCACCCTTCAGTCAAGGCTCGGCCGCCGTAGACCGTCCTTCGACGAGCGCGTTCCACTACTCGCAAAGTCGTTACTCGAAAATTGCCTGGATCCGCCGCGGGGGATCTACGATAAATTACATCGAAGCAGACATGTGTTTTTCGGGCGTTTGCGAGTAGGCACTTTGCGAGTAGTGGATCGCGCTCGGTGAGTCCTGGACGCGCCCGACCGCCGACGACCCCCAACGCTGCCGGTGCACGATGCCGAGAGCTGCCCCACCTCCCGGCCGGGGTCGGGAGCCACGAGCTGCGGCGCGGCGCGCGCTCCTGAGTCGCAGCCGAGAGCTGATGCAGTAGACGGGGGTCGTGCTGTCGAGGCCCTCGAGCGCCTGGCCGTGGAAGAAGCTCCTCGCCGCCGAGATCTGGGGAACGCCAGCAGGGCTGTAGATGCCACGACAATGGACACCCCAACAGTCCTATCACTGAATTGGAACATGTGCTTCAAGTGTAGGAAAGATGTTCTAACCATGTTTAAAGCATGTGTTTTTACATGATTAAAGCATGTTTGAGACAGCTCTTGACATCTGGAAATTGTTTGGCAACATGCTTCCTCTCCATTGATCGTCCTCCACAACAGGAGGAGCACTGCACGATGGGGTCCAGCCCATTTGCTCAAGCTAGGGATGGCGAGGACGGAAAGAAGGCAGCGCGGACTGACGTTCTCTAAGCACACGGTACTAGCACGGCCACACTTTTGGGCCCCATCGGACGTCCAACGCATTCGTGCAACCTGGTCGGCACAAGCGCACAATGGGGAGCACCGACGGCTGAATCCATGAAGCGAATTAAAGGACAAAGAGGAAAGAAGATGTTGTCGCGGTGAGTACAACGTGTGAAGCACACGCACACACGCACACACACACACACACACACCGATTGATACATCCAGCCACCAGCGATTCACAAGCGCGCACACACACACACATTGATACATCCACCCACCCACCCACTAACCCATACGTTCGGTTCAACGCGATGCAAACGGCATACGGTAAAAACGAGACGCCACGTAACACGACAACGCTTCGTCATGTCGAATTACGTCACTCTGAATGTTGTTCCCCAGCAGCGCTCCCTCTGCACTGGTACTAGAATCCACAGGGAACGATCACGCACGGCAATTTTCGAAACTGGCTGTGACGTGCCAAATTGTCTTGAAGGACTAATGTCATGTTGGTCCAAATTATTAATGTCTCTCTCTCTCTCTCCCTTTCGCCCTCTCCCTCTTGCCTCCTGCATCTTGCACTCTGGCGGTGAAGCTCCTCATCTTCTTTCTGCCTCAACGCCCCCCTTCGTGTCCGCTGGATTGCCCTCGCTAGCTGTCACTTACGGTGCGCGGCATGAGAGAAGAGGGAGAGAGATGAGGGTAGTGGTGGGACGCGGATATAAACGAAACGCTGCACTCCGATATGCGTGCAGTGCAGTTACCCCCAAGCGCGCTGTACGGGGGGGAGGGCCCGCAGGGATGGGGTCCGGCCTCGAGGGCGCTCTCGAAAGTGAGGCGCCCGCGCCACAGAGCGCGCAGTCGACGCGCCTCGGCCGTCTTGAAGAGAAGCGGGAGGAAGGGGGGCGGCAGGAGGAACGGAGGGACCGAGCGAGGAGGAAAGCCCACAGCTCGCAGTCCTCCGGATGCGGTCCAGCGTCCTCTCTTCGACCATCTCGCGCCACTCCTCGGTCGCCTCGTCGCCGCAGTCCTCTCCGGGGCTGCGGCCGCGCCGCGCGCCCGTCGTCGCCGTCCTCGACGCGGGGCCCTCGATAGGAGAGCGACCATAGAAGGAACTCGAGAGCTCGAGCGCCCCCTTCGGCACCCCGAGTGTCCTTTGCGTCAGCGCGACGGCTGTCGTTGCACAGAGGGAGAGAGGAGAGAAGAAAATAGAGGAGGAGGAGGAGGAGGATCGATAACAGGAACAGGACGAGAGGCAGACCGATGAGGAGAGAGGGAAGGGGGGAGCGTATGAGGATGATGACGGGCAGGGAAAGAAAAGGAACGGGGGAAGAAAAGTAAAAAGGAGAGAGGGGAGGAGGAGGAGGACGACGACGACGAGGAGAAAGAGGAGGACGAGGAGAAGGAGAAGGAGGACGAGGAAGAGGAAAAGGAGAATGAGGAAGACGAGGAGAAGGAGGACGGCGAGGCAGGGGAAAAAAGAAGACAGGGGCCTCTAGGCTCTCCAGCTCGGCCTCCGTGTCGAGGTCGACCTTGTTGCGTATCAGGCAAAAAGGCACGCCCAGCCGTCTGAGCTCCGTGGCCAGCAACAACTCTGGCTCCTGGCACGCGCGGGGGGGGGGGGGGGCGGTTGTGTTCTTCCTCCCCCCCCGTCCTCCCTCCACCTCCCCCTCCCTTGCATGACTGTTGAACCCTTCCCATCCTTCTCCTTCTACTTATCCCACCCCTCCCTCCTCCGTCACAAGCACCCTTTGGAAAAAAATACGACTCAAAGGCCCCTGATCATGTGCGGAACCGTCCCCACCTCTCTCGCGTGTTGCCTGTTATCTCCCTCTCTCTTTCTTTCTATATTGTGTTTTTTTCTCTCTCACTCTCTCTCTCTCTCTCTTTCTCTCCCTCTTTTCTCTCTCTCTCTCTCTCTCTCTCTCTCTTTCTCTCTGTCTCTCAATAAAACTATGTCTATATACATATAAATATATTGTGTTATCTCTCTCGCTATATCTCTAAATATCTCTCCCTCTGTCTCTCTCTCTCTCTCTCTTCCCCACTCTCTCTCTCTCTGTCTCTCCCTCTCTCGCGTTCACTCTCTCTCTCTCTCTCTATATCCCTTTCTCTCTTCATATATCCCTCTCTATAAGTTTATCTCTCGTTCTCTCTATGTATGTATAGGCATGCATCTCTCTCTCTCTCTCTCCCCCTATATATATCTGCCTGTATGATTCATGTATATATATAGTCCTCTATCGCTTTCGAAAATGTAGATGTCATTATATGTATATCCCGAAATGTCTCTCTATCACGACATAGGTATCTCAATATTTGAACAGGTGAACACACGACTGGGTGTGTATATATACATGTGCATAGATGTGTCTATGTATAGATGGATACATGGCTATCCGCATGGTGATATAGACATGCGCAGAAATATAAATATGTGTGTGAATATAACAATGACATGCAAGCATGTCCCTCTACTATGTATCTATCTCCCTCTCTCTCTATCTCTCTAGTTCTTACATGCTATACATGTATATATTATTATCTCTCTCGCACTCCCTATATACTTCTGGATTCGTGTACATGAATATGATTATATATATACATACATACATACATACATACATACATACATATATACATATACACACATACACATAATACATACATACATGCATACATACATACATACATACATACATGCATGCATGCATGCATGCATGCATACATGCATACATGCATACATGCATACATGCATACATGCATACATGCATACATGCATACATGCATACATGCATACATGCATACATGCATATGCATACATGCATACATGCATACATGCATACATGCATACATACATACATACATACATACATACATACATACACTCCCGTTATCTTTCTCTCTCTAGATATATATATATATATATATATATATATATATATATATATATGCATAGACCTTGTTCCCCCTTACACGTACGCACGCACGCAAGAACGCACGCATGCATGCACGCACGCACCACGCACGCGCACGCACACGCACACGTACACACACAAAAACACACACAGTTGTTTTTGGCGTCGTGGCCCTGCGCGCAGCGACACGGCGTACAACGTCGAAAAACAGTCAATGGCGCGCGCGCGTCCAAGCCCGCCCGAGCTGGGAACACTGAGGGTCTTGCTGCCGCCAGCAGCCGTAACCGTCTGGGCATGGATGGCGGGGTCGACCAGTGGGAGGACGAGACTACGGTGAGGTGGAAGGTGCCATATGCCAACCGGCCCTGAAAGGCAAGGGTGGCGAGAAAGCAGAGTGAAACGAGGAGGAAACCAAAGACGACTGGAAGCAGAGGCGGCGACGTGCCGCCAAAGGTCGCTTGCTGCAAAGCCGCGAAAGTCGGCGAAGCCGGGCAACGCGCCGAAAACGCCGGCTGCCCAAGTGGAGGTCCGCATAAGACGGCCAGGGCTGCCTCCAAACAGGCCGGAAGCGTGGGGGGAGCAGAGAGGCCGCCCGGCGGCGGCCAGCAACGGGGAGCGGCGAGGCGGCCGGGGAAGCAGCGGCGGCGACACGCGGCGTGACGGCCAACCCCGCCAAACCATGGGCAGGGGAACGTGCCGCCCAGGCGGGAGAACAAGTGGAGCGAGGGGGGGAACCTGGGGCAGCGCTACCCAGGCGAGGCGTGGGAGGAAAGCGGGAACGCGCACGGGTGCCCACCACGCGGCGCAGCTGGCCGTTGCGAACGCGAGGCTTGGAACACGGAAAAACGTGAACACCCAAGGGCTCGTCCAGCCCGTTCACTCACCTTGACACCCTCGCGCCTCTCGCGGCGGGGAACAGCCCGCCTCGCAACGACTGGACCCGCGAAAGGCTCACAGGGGGGAAAGCCCAGCGGGGCCAGCGTGGGACAGCCCCGGGGTGGAGCAGGGAGCCGTGCCACACAGCGGCCCAGCACCAGAGCGTGGAGGGCGGAGTCCCCGAAACGAGGCGGCCCGAGGGGAGGCCGAAGGGGGACGGGGAGGAGGAGGAGGAGGAGGAGGAGGAGGAGGAGGAGGAGGAGGAGGAGGAGGAGGAGGAAGAGGAGGAGGAGGAGGAGGAGGAAGAGGACGACGACGACGAGGACGAGGACGAAGACGAGGAGGAGGACGAGGAGGAGGAAGGAAAGGAGGAGCAGCAACTCTTCTTGACCCCCCACGGCCAAAAAATGTACTTGGCGAAGGTGGGCGAGGCAGAGGGCACCGGCATAATTGCTTGCAGGGGGCAACGCTTGCGCATTGCAGGACAGTGCCTGGCAAGCGAGACGAGGAGCTTACAAACGGACTCCAGAACGGGGACAGGCAAGAAAATAAGGAGGAGACTGGGGACGCTGGTGGAGGCTTGAGCGGGGACGGCGGCGGATGCCGCACGGCCGCTCCCGTCAAGCTCGTTCCTTCCCGTTCTGAAAACTGCACAGCAACTCTTCTTGACCACCCACGGCCACACGATGTACTTTGCAAAAGTGGGCGAGGCAGCGGGCACCGGCAGAAGCGCTTGCAGAGGGCGACGCCTGCGCAAGCCGAAAGCACCCCGCAAACCTAAAAAAAACTTGGCCGCACGATTTAGTAGGCGCGGGCGAAAACACCGAACCAGGGACGAGCCCCGAAATTTGGCTACGCCTAGCGGTCCGACGGAATTCTACTATACTGATAAGGGCGGAGGAAGCAGCCGAAGCGAACTGTGGAGGACATGGGGCGGCGATCCTTATCCACAGTTTTTGTTGTTCCAGGGGCGCATCCAGATAATATGATAAGTATGGGGCATATCGGTTATTGAACACTTAGAACTACAAGCATGGCATAGCCTATTCGGGGCACTCACGAGCGGCGCGTTCCAGGAGGCAATCGATGTAGCCCTCTTCAAAGGGGCACCGCATTGACCAACATCTGTTTGATGCATGATGTCGGTGGGATGCTCGGCCAACGGTACCAAGGGCGGCATAGACCAGATCTGGGAACCTCTCGGATTCTCCTATTAATACTACACAATCAATAGCTACTGCGGCCTGCACGAGCCCATGCTGGCCTCGAAGATGGCGCTACCTGAACGCAGACGAGACAGCTCGGTCTCAGACAGGCCTGGGACGCCCCAGGGGCGCCCGGGACTCCACGGAGGATTTCGGAGCGTTCCGCTGAAGGCGGCGCACGGGGCGCCCAGCCAGATGCCAGTGACAGACCGGGACCGAGCCCATTAAATCAATACCTGGAAAAAGCCCGGAAAACTAACGTCTTGCCAGGAGCCTCAGAAGATGTCTACCGAGATGAACCCGCACCCGCGCACCCTCAGAGCGTCGGACAGGCGGCCGGACACGGATCAGACGCCCAGGGACACGCAGAGTTCGAACCGAGGTCCGCCGACGCTCACGCCGCAAAAGACAGCCAAGGTGACTGACCGCCACGGCGTCGAAGCAGCTCATCGCCGACGGCGAGACCTGGGGAGCGGAGCCGCGTCGTCGGGCGCCGCGCCCGCGCCCCGGCCCGCCTCCCCCAGGCCGCCCCCGATGCCCAGCGGCATCTTGCCCCACATCACTCTGTCGCGGAGGCCGGACTGGAGGGCGAGAGAGCCGTGGCCCTGCACCAGCTGCACGTAGACCGCCGGCGAGACCTGGACCATCTCAATCAGCACCCGCGTCTCCTTCCGCATCTGCGCAGGCTGCGCCGGTCGCGCCACTGGCCTCGGCGCTCGGCGCTCCACCTCGGCCGGGGAGCGCCGCTCAGCGGCCGGGCAGTCCGACGCGCCCCCGAGCCGGAGGCCGCGCAGCTGCGGCCGCAGAAGTTGCGGGCCCGGGACCTGCACGCAGCGCTTCAACCGCTGGCGCAGGGCGGCGGGTCGAAGCCCCCGCTCGCGGCTGCCTTCGGCGCCGCCAGGGCATCCAGCATCCAGAAATCGCGGTCTATCGCCACGGACCCGCCCTGCTCGCCCGTCTCTCCTGCTGCCCCGCCCGCGTCGCCGATCGAGAGAAAGGAGCACGCGCGCTGCAGGCCTGCGGGCGGGCACGGAGCCACCAGATGCGACGGCTGCAGTCGGAGGGCCCCCTAGGGCCCCAGGTACATCACGCGCGCAAAAACGAGCCAGACCGCCACGAGGGGCTGCCCGAGGTAGCAAAGGGCGCCAGCGATGACCAGCGCCGCAATCTCGGGCAGCGGCAGCCTCGGCGAGCCAGGCACATCATTTTCCAGAACTCACATGCCCTCCATGACCTCGGCAAGCGCACCCTCAGCGACTCGTGAAGCTCCGGCGCGAAGCGCGCCCGGGCGGCGAGGAGCTCGACGCCCACGCCAAGGAGATGGCGGCCCAGGCACAGCCCGTCCACGTAGGAGGCCACCGCCAGGTCGAGGCCCACCGCGCCGCGCCCAGGTTCGAATGGAAACAGACGTCCACGGAGCCACGGAGGAGCTGGCGGCAAGCCTTTTCCGCCGCCTCTGACACCGCCGCGTGCTCCGGCAGCGCGAGTCTGCCTCTCAGAGGTCTCGACGAGCGGAGGGGCCCTGCCGACGCCGGCCGCGCCAGCTGGGCCGCTATTCGGGCCGCCGCATCATCGATCGGGCCGACGCGAGGGCAGGCGCGC